CACACACACACACACACACACACACACACACACACACACACACACACACACACACACACATCCTGATGCTCGGATGACCTAGCAAGGAATTATTTGACCATTGAGGATTCCATATTCGGTTCGAAGACGAAAGCGGCCGCAAATATTCTTTGGTGTTAAGTTCCCTTTCCCAAACAGATATTTATTTTTAGACTTGAGTACTGATTAGAGAGACGAAACTCCTTTTGAGCGTTTTATTTTTGAAGCATTGAGTTCCCTTTATCCATTTCATCAAAATAGAAAGAAGACAAATGTCGCGAGATGTTAACATTTCGTTTAATCTTCTCAGTCGCTGACTTAAAACAAACAGGCACATATACAGCACATGGGATTAATCAATTTTCGTGAACAAACGCGTACAAGCATACAAAGATTACTAAATTTAGAAGTAGAAAGTCAACTCCACGGTAAATGGATTGCTTGTATCAAAAACTTCTGTGCGCACACGGTCGGGTGATGTAATCGAATAAGCAGTGCTTCACTAATCGCCAAAAGTTTAACATTTCGATTACGTGATAGTGGTTCAAAAAACGAATTAGGGTCAACTGTGTGTTAACATCTCAAGACATTTATCTTCTTTCCGTTTTATTTTTTCCAAATTTCTATAACCTTTTAAATGTGCGTTCTATGGAACCAGTCAGGTGATCATTGAAATCATCTTATTTTTTCAAACACATCAAAGTTTATTTTAATTTTCGTTCAAATCCTGATTCCATATAGCTTGTCCTGAAGTTGATGTACTCTGTTCTTCATTCAAATTTGACTGGTATCGGTCAAACTGTATTCGATCAACAGACTGGCGGAATGTCGTTTCACTCCCGGTTGAAGCCAAACCGTTCGGTGTGTCGGTGCAGTAATTGATGCAAACTGATCGATAAATTCCATGTGACGAGCAACGCTGAGTCATGACCTCGGTGATTGATTACGCACATCACATCACGATGGGACGTGATTCGCGAAATGGAACTGAGTCACTCGAACAACACACACGCATACATGCATACACACCAAGGAACCTGCCAAAGCTGTTGTGATTATGATCTTTGATTATTGAAGAGCTATTCACTTACCTCAACGTCCTAGTAAACAACAGTGGCATCGGCTTCATGTGATACGTCCATGCCAGCCAACTTTCTATGCCCCAGTTGAGCTGCGGTTTCCGAAAACCTCTAAATAACAGCGTGGGTATATTGGGTGCTGGATGGTCACTCTCGCCCTTGCACCTCGCGAAATGCTCCCACACAACCAAGCGTCTCAAATAACTTCTGCAGAAGAAGCCCTACTCACTGCAATCTCGTGACAGAGCTGTTTTCCGACCAAAGTGAGAGGACAAGAAGCCAACCTTTGGGGCTATAACCGGGTCCGTGAATCACTGACAGTTT